CACGTTCTTTCCTTCCGGAGAGACGTCGGGGCGCAGCACGCGTGAGGCGCAGAGGGGCCGCGCGCCCCGGATGGGGGGAGTCGCTCGGAGGCTATGGGGTGCTGAGCCCCGGAGCCTGCGGCGGGGCGGGGCGGGGGCCAGGCCGTCGAGGAGGCTGGGCCAGTAGCCCAACCGCGAGGGCCGGAGGGTCGAGGAGCCCGGGCTTTCAAGGAACCGCGGGTGTGGGGCCCGAGGAGCTAGGCGCTGCTTGGGGGCGGTGCAGGGGCGGGCTTGGATTCGGAGGGGCTGAACCTGAGCGTGCCTGAGGCCATGTGGGTTTTTCTGCTCCCCTTGGAGGGGGGGCCTGGGAGGCGAGGGAGGGTGAGGGGGGACGTTAGCAGAGGGAGGGGTCGTCCAGGCGAGGCTGGGAGCTAGTGGCACAGACGGACATACAGATCAGTGGACGGTCTGGCTGAAGCTTTCAGAGGCAGTGAGGCTGGTGGGGGACTCAACTCTGCTTCCTGCCTGTGCTCCTGGGAAGGTCGCTGACTAGGGCTGTAACTGCTCGGGGGCGTCGCTGTCTACTCAGCCTCCAGGGCACTGGGCACCTCGAGGAGAGGCTATTACCAGCTAGTACCTCCAGCAGGCCGAGGCTCAGTTCTGTGGGACCCTCACCCAAGGTTCCTGAGGACCACAGGGGGCCTCGGGGTTTGGCAGGGTTGGGACAGGGTCAGGTTTAGCGTGTCGGAAAGCTGATGCTGCATTGAAGATGCTCCACTGTGGCCCTGTGTGGGTGAGGCCCATTTCTATGGACATCAGTACCAGCCACCTGCTGCTAGGCCCTGAGTCCCAGGTCAGTCTGGGGATGGAGCTGGTGGAGACTACTAGAACTGCAGACTGCCCCCAACCTGGGCTCAGAGCTGGGAGCCTCTGTCAAGACCCCCTGTTTATTTCCTTACTTGGAAAAAGGGCACTGTCCTCCCATCCCAGCCTGAAACCAAGGTCCACATGATACCACAGCCCACTTGTAACTGCTCACTTTTTGGGGGCTACACCGGGAGGTGGACAGGAGGGGACAGAGACCCCTGCTCAAGGCCCCATTATTGGCAGGAGTCTCCATAGGATACCCCCTGCCCCCCCAGCAGGTCAGAGGTTAGAGACATTTGCTGCTCACTTGGGGGAAGGAGAGAGGACATGGAGACTCCCCCCCTTCCCTGGTGTGGTCTCCAGGGAGCAGGCTGCACTGCCCAGCTGGCCCTCCTTGTGTGTACTGCAGGACAGCCCTGACTGGGGATCTCCTTGCCAGGACCCCCTCACATTGCCCTGGACTCCAGCCTCTCTGCAGCCTCCCCCTACACCTCAGGCCTGGCCTCAGGAAGTGCGTTGCTTGGTGGGCTGGGGCAGGCTCAGAGGAAGGAGCCCTTGACTCACAGTTACAGGAAGAGCAGGCGGGCGGGGCTAACCAACTGCCCGCCTGCCTGGAGGGGGTGGGTGCCTGGGTGGGGTTTAGGTTTAGGAGAGGATGTGACTGCAAGGCCAGGAAGCTACAGAAAAGTCCTGATTAAAATACACAAACAAAAGCCAGGTCCTCACCCCGCTTGGTGATGGGTCCAGAGCAGCCGTGGTGTTTCGGACTGGGCCAGGGGCCCAGCTGAGCAGAGTTTGCTCTCAAGCACAGGTCAATGACCTCTATGACCAACGTCCCCTGCAGGAGGACAGAGCCGGAACCAGGTGACTTCGTGCCCTCCCACTGCGGCCTGCAGCTCTGTGTGAGCCTGAACCCTCACCCTCTGATGTCTTCTCGGCCTGAGGCCTGGCCTCAGAGTCAGGCCTGGCTGAGGGGAGGCCTGCAGCATGTGGGGCATGAGTGGCTGTGAGAGAGTGAGGAGGCTGTGTGTGTGCCAAGGGTGGGTGTGTTGTTTGTTGTGTGTGGTGGGGGTGTGCAGGTGCTTCTGGCTGTGCCCCCTGCAGGAGCTGTTCTGAGTTTGTGCCATGTGTGCCCACTGTGTGGGCCACAGAGTGTTGGAGGGGTGGGGAGTGTGCATGTGTGCACACCGGCCAAGGTGGGAGCTCAGTGCAGGTGTGTGGGGAGTGGGGTGTGTGCAGGGGGTGGGTGTGCAACACAGAGACCACGAAGGAGGGGCCTGAAGGGTAGGGTGTTCGGGAGAGCCCTGTGCAGGAGACATGTGTTGAGGAGAGGGCTGTGAAAGGGTGTGTGTGCAGTAAAGGTGTGTGCAGGAGGAGGCTGTGCAGGAAAGGCAACCTCTTGGCCTCATGAAGGTACGAAAGGGTGTGGGCCCACTGACCCACCCTAGGCCATCATGGTGGCCCTGGTGCAGGTGAAGGTCAGTCGAGGGCCCTGTGTAAGGTGCTCAGAGAGACTGTTCTGGTGTCCAGGTGCTCCGCTGGCATCCGAGAGGCAGCGGGTGCACAGTGCTGTTTGTGGCCAAAGTTACAAGTTAACTCACTCTGTTCTTGTTTAACTTGCTCTCTGGGGATGGCAGCAGCCTCTGACCCATCCTGGCACCCTGACTGACCCACCACAAAGACAGAGAGCTAGTCCTGCCCAGCCCTTGGGGTCCAGTCTTCTTGGCTGAGGAGCTCGTGGAGCCAGAGGTGGCACCGTGCCCAGCTTGCCTGAGGAGGCCCTGGTCAGACCATGGCAGGTAGATGGGTCAGAGAGGGACGGATAGGGGCCCCACTCTCACCTTTAGCACCTCACTGGCTGCCATTTAGCCCAGGCTCTGTTCACCCCCCTCCAGGCTTGTGGGGGTGGGCACTACTGAGGGCCATGAGGGCGAGGTGGGGATATGTGGGCTGCTGGGGGCCAACAAGATGATGGGTGTCTTCTCTGACTCCTGCTAGTGCTCATCAGCCCAATTTTAAGATGAGAAAGCTCGGGTCTCAGGGAGGTGGGAAGGCTTGCCTGTGGTCAGCAGAAGGTCCTAGAACCCTGGCTCCCATCCTAGGTGGAAGGTGCTGGCACAGCCAGCACCCCAGTCTCCCAAACCACCAGTGCTCACACTCACTGCAGCCATCACAGTGGGGTGAGGCTGCTCTGCCTGGCCCTTCACCTGGGACTCATGTCCTGGGTGGATGAGCAGCCACATACTGGGCCCTGTCCTCCATGGGACTCATGGACAGACATGGTGTGGCCACCAAACAACACGTGCCACTGGCTGTCCTTTTTTATTCCTGACCCACAGACCGTCTGTGGACAGTGGGAACCTGGTATCCTGAGCTCGGCTAATCTACTGGGTCCTCTTTCTCTAGGTGTCTGCAACAGGCCCCCCGAATTCCTCTCCCCTTCTGGAAACCAGGTTCTGGGGCCTACCTTGGGCAGTGTGGTCACTCTGAACTGCACGGCCTTGGTGGCTTCTGCACCCTACTGTCCCCTGCCCTCAGTCCAGTGGCTAAAAGATGGGCTGCCGCTGGGCAATGGGAGCCATTATGATCTTCATGAGGACTGGTAAGAGACCACCCTGGATATACCTATGGATATACTTCTGACCTACATCCTGGTCTGTAACCACCTGGACATGGGCTGGGGAGTGACCTCCCAGACATGACATGAGCACAGTGCCCCTATGGACACAGACTGAGGGCCCCTGTAGACACTCTGTATACCACCCAGGGCCATGGGTGCCAGCAGAGTCCTAAGGCTTGAACAAGGCACTGGCCATTGGGCCACACCTGGAAGCAGAGGACCCCAGGACCCAGACCCAGAATTAGGGTGGCTGCCCCTAAATAGATCCACACTCCCTCCAGGTTCTGCCGCTTCTCTTAGCTTATGGCCCAATGGCTGCCCAGGAAGCCCAAATCTGCAGCCTCTCAGAATCCCAGACAGGTGGGGTTCTGGGGTGTCCATGGATGCTCTTGGGCCCCAGGTGAGAGGTTGGGGCCTGGTCTTCCCAGGGTCAAAGCCAACTTGTCAGAGGTGCTTGTATCCAGTGTCCTGGGGATCAACCTGACCAGTGCTGAGGACTACGGGGCATTCACCTGCTCTGTACGGAATGTCAGCTCCTCCTTCACTCTCTGGAGAGCTGGTGAGGGGGATACTCAGGGGTACAGGGTAGGAGGAGGCCTGGGGGGTGGGGACTGAGGAGCCTAGAGGCTGGAGGGTGCTGGGTGAGGGGTGCAGTGGCTCAGGATGCAGCTCTGTCCCCAGGCCCAGCAGGCCATTTGGTGGCGGTGCTGGCCTCGCTGCTGGTCCTGCTGGTCCTGCTTCTGGCGGCTCTGCTCTATGTGAAGTGCCGACTCAACGTGCAGCTCTGGTACCAGGACGCGTACGGGGAGGTGGAGATGAACGGTGCGTGGGCCATGGTGCGTGGGCGGACAGCCGGGACGGGGTCAGCCGCAGGGCCTCCCTAGGCTCAGCTCTGGGCAGGGGGTCCCCTCTGGAAAGTGGGGCAGCTCTGGAGGCGGGGGATGCGGACTCATTAGCTCTGGAGGGCTCCGGTGAGCACATGCTCCAGGAAAGAGGGACTCGGTGCAGCCCAGGGGGGCACAGGGCCTGGGTCTGCCGAAGCGGGGCGGGCGCCCTGTGCCCTGGTGCGAGGGCGCCCCTCTGAATCTTGTATTGAGGAGGGGTCGTGGGCGGGGCCTACGTCTGGGGGACGGGCCTAGGCCCTGTGCGCCGGCGCGTGAGAGGGTGAGGGGGACCCGAGGGGATGGCACCGAGAGGTGGCAGCCTGGGCCCGGAAACTGGTGGAACTGACCCGCCGCTGCCCGCAGACGGGAAGCTCTACGACGCCTACATCTCCTACAGCGACAGCCCCGAAGATCGGAAGTTCGTGAACTTCATCCTGAAGCCGCAGCTGGAGCGCTGTCGGGGCTACAAGCTCTTCCTGGACGACCGCGACCTCCTGCCGCGGGCAGGTGCGCTGGGCCCCCGCTCGGCTTC